AAGTCACAAGTGAACCCCGGGAGAAGTCACAAGTGAACCCCCTTCCCTTTTTGTTGCCAGTGCTTTTGACTCGTTGCTTGACAAGCTTGAGTCCTTTAGACAGCATGTTGAAGCTTGCTGATGCTCGCTGCCACTTGTTGCCGCATATCTTATCTTGAGCAACGCTTTCTTATACTTCTGCGACAAGTATCTTTTATGATCGTGATCAGGGGCAAGGCGGCGCACGCAAGGGTTTGGACTTTCCGGCATCCGTAGAGCCGTCAAGCACGTGTAGCCGCCTTAGCCTTTCTTCACCCCGCGCTGGCTTTGAGAGAGGGTCGCACACGCATAGTAGCTTCACTACCCAGAGGCAACACACATGCACATGCTGACTGCACAAGGGCCAAGCGCAGACAGAGGGACACTCTTCAGCTGTTGGCAACAGCACTAGAACGCTACAACCAGAGCGTGTTCGCTGCAAGCACGTATGAGGGGGTATACAGCCTCCTCCTATCTCCTCCTGCCTGCTTACTTCCTCGCTCCTCCGCCTTCGCAACACTCTTCACAGCACAACCTTCACCGACTCACCCTGGCATTCTGCAACCTGCGTTGCTCTTTGTTTCCGCAGGGCTCAAAGATGTCAATCCCTACTGCGAAATGCTGCAGCTTCCTGGGAACCATCAGTGCATAGTGTGAAGCCACATCTGTGCCAGCGTATGGCTTAGCTCTAGATTTTGCAGATGGGGACTGACTGGCCCCTTCGCAGTGGCGCTTTCAAGCCAGCTTCTTTCAATGGCGTGCTGTACTTACGGCAATCTCCCCATCCAGATGCAAAGCCCCCCTGCGACAGTCCAGGATCCTCTGCGGAGGGCTCTGGGTGTGAGTACCACTGGACAAAAGGCTTATCCTGAGTCTGCGCTCACTTCAAAGCGTGCTGTTAAGAGCAGCTCAGATCAGTCACGCGTCTCCAGCTTGATTAATCTGCCGTACAAGAGTCTTTCGCGATTGCCTTTTCCATTGGAGTGCCTGAGGAAGAGCAAGGCTTCGAGGAGTGCAAGAAGTACTACTAATAATAATAGTAATAATAATACTAATACTAATAATAACTAAGACGACCACAAGAACAATAACAACCACCGCCGCTTACCACCAATAACCAACAACCAACAACCAACAACCACAACTACTACGACGAATACTACTTCTACTGATAGTTCTACTAATACTGATACTAATACTGATACGAATACTAATACTCATACTTCCTGATACTAATTCTGATGCTAGAAGAAAAATACTTCTGCTTTGTGGATTCCAAACACAGGGGATTCACCTGCGGGGTCTCTACTTGAGGCCAACAGTGGCCATGACTTTACGAAGAATTGCCCAGGTTTTTCGCACGATCAAGAACAACCTACGCCCTAAATGCTAGACAGCCCTAAACTCTTCTGACACCATCTGAAAACTAATCAACCCCAAAGACTCAACAACCCTAAAGAACCCTAAACCTAAAGCCTAAACAACCCCAAGCCCATATACAAAAGCTAAACCGTGTTTAAACAAACCCTCAACCCTCAACAACCCCAAGATCTGCAACCCAAAAAAACTCAAGCCATAGAGCCTAAATCTTGATGCCTAATTAAAATCCTTAAGCCCCGAACCAACCCCAAATCACAAAAGCTTAAAATCCAGCTCAACCCTGAACAATCCGGAACTCTTAAACAGGAAATCTAAAATACCAAACCTTGAAAAGCAAACCTAAAACCTCTAAACAACCGTGAACCCGCAAAGCAAACAATCCAGGCACCGCCACCGCCACCAACACCACCATGCCACTACTACTACGACTGCTACTCCTAGTGTGCTCTGCAAAATGCGCGTAATAGATAAAAGATTGCGTGTCTTTGAGGGCGCGTGTTGAGTCCAAGTTGCGCTCAGCCAAGTGCAGCAGCTCGGAGCCTGGCAAAGGTTTCCACGCGCAGCAGCCGTCCGGAAAGATCCATTCGAAGTCCTCAAGACATCTAGACTCGACAAAAATAGACTCAGACAGGCTCTCTGAAGTGTTTGCACAAACCATTGCTGCTCCTCGCCAGCTACTTTTCGCAGCTGAGCAGTCTGGAACTTCCTGAGCTTGGATGCGTTGAGAGGCATGTTTCAAGACTATGATGAAGCCGCGACACATGATGTTGGAGTTGCTTGGCGCACCATGAAGCGCCAAAACTCGGGCCTTTGTCTTCCAGGCGTCCCTGCGGAGCTTGAACACCCATATTTCATAGTAGCCTTGGCATGCTCTGCACAACCGGGCGCCTCCTAATAACCATGGCTTTGTCCTGGAGAGATGGAACCAGCTCACTCCGATATCGAGGATGTTTCAAGTCAACAGGCAGCGTCCTTGACCTTCAGGCTGATCCAGCCGGATTCAGGTCCGGAGCCGTTCCTGCATCAAAGATTGCTCTTACAAGGTTGTAACAGATATTGTGATCATCGTTGTGGCAAGCGACTTCCACGTGAACTGCCAACCAAGCCAGGCATCAGCAGGGAGTATCTTAAGCGCTCCCCCTGAATCTCCGCCTCTAAGATCACAGCTCCTCGGCATGAAGGGACTGGTATTCAAGGGCGGCGCACGCAATGTGAAGACCGATCATCTGAAATGGTCAAGAGAGCTCGTAAGGGGCCTGGCTCACAAACATGGAACCGCATGAAGCGAGGGCAGCACGTGGACAGTAAACACAGGCTCGAAAGTGTGCATGACTGCTGACGGTGCGAGATGGTGCGAGATCTAAGGTGCAGAAGATGCAACAAACAGCTGGCCAGTCCTGTTGAAAGGCGGCCATCTTCTGGAGAGGTGAGCTCTCGTCCTGTGCACTGCAAAAGCTGCACAAGACTTGAGCGACGATGACTTTGAGTTGCACACCGGTAGGAGAAGCTCATTTCTACACTTGTTACGACTGTTACGACACGATGTCTGGTCAGACTTCAGGAGATCAGCCACATCTGTTGTGACCGAAACGTGTATTTAACTTCGGCCAGACGGCAAACCCCTCTTGTGCTTGCCATCCCTTAGGCGGGGTGGCACAAAGCTCTTCAGGGCATTTCAGGGCATCAGTGTGTGTGCTTGTAAGTCTCCGTCTTCCTTATACACAGAGTGCTGGCACTAGAGCACTTGGCTGCTTTGCATGCGGCGGGCCTTGTCTTACCAGGATGCCGCCCTTGTCGGAACCCCCAACCACCTGACTCGCTTTTCAGCAGCACTGCGAGCAATGCAAACAGAGTCTTCATGCTGGAGCGGCCTCCCAAAGCTGGGGCATTGATCCATCCGCCCAGTCTGGCTCAGCTTCCACGTTCGCTGCTTTCTGACTAAGTTGCACGAATCATCTAACTTGGAATGTCATCACTACGTGCGCGGGACATGCATGGCTGAAGTTGCTGTGAGTGTGTAGGTTTAAGTAGGTATCGTGCGCATGGGTGTGCTTGAGGCTTCTGCGGCATAAGGCTAGACATCCAATAGAATCGCACCAAGGAGTCACGGCGTTGCATCAGCAGAGCGACTGAATGCCATTGCGCTAGGTGTTAACACCTGCAACGCACGACCAAACACCTAGAGAGACCGTGGAAGGGTAGAGGTTTGCAGTTGAAATTACTTGAGAACGTAGCTGGCGTACACAAATCTTATGAAGTATCGACGTCCTGCACGTAGCCTTCCTCCGGCCCGACATAGACCTGCCACTTAGGCTTTGTGACTTGTGCATTCTGATCCGGTAAGCGCTTCTTGCAGGATGGCAGGCGGCTTCCCCAGGAATGCATGTCTTGCGAATGAGTCTCATGCAGCTCCAGGCTGTGGTATCTTGAGCTGAACAACTTGCCAGAGCAGCCATGTTCTCATAGTGGGTCACCGTCACACCAAGCTCGGCGGAGTACTTCTTGCCCGTCTCCTACGAAGAACACAGGTGCCCAGGACAGGCACCCAGCGATCCTCTCACGCACAGTCCTGGGCATCGTAGGGGCCATAGAAGTCCTCTCCATCAATTGTACTCTTGGTGCCTGCAGTGGCAAGGAAGTCATCGAGGAGCGGGCTGACAGGAGCTGAGAGCTGCCATTTCTGCCATGATGCTTTGAAGTTTAGGAGGAAAAATCTCGAGTGCTCTCAAAGACATGCTGCATGAGTCTTGAGGCTCCAGCCGGCCATGTCACGGCCGATGATGAAGTGAGTGGCACCATAGTTCCTAAAAGGCAGAAAGAAACGCCGATGTCGCCAATCCAGCGTGCTGCCGAAATGTCCACATGCTTGGCCCATTCTCAGGCTTGCGCTTTCGGATGATCATGTGCTGGATTGCCTCGCGCGGACCAGCCTCAGGTAGACGCTCTTCCACACTCAGCTACAAACACTTTCAAGGACACAGAAGTCGGTCTCAACCCCCCTCCTTAGCAGCCGTGATGGCTGAGGGATGGGATGCCTCAACCACCTTTCACTAGTTATCAAACGTGAGCCCATTTGGTTGATTCTCTACTATTCTACAATTATCTCGAATCCGCAGGTGGGACCTCAAAGCATTGAATTGAGAAAGTGCAGTGCATGTGAGTTTCACTGACTGCAGATACGACCACATGCTGAGCAAGCGCATGAAACAATCATGATCCATGTAAGCCTCTGGCCATCTTCATGCTGTATGGCCTCACACGGAATGGCATGGCAGACTTGCGCAACACTTGCTACATGCGCGGACTCAAGGACTGCTTCAGGTAGAAGATGAACCAGAAGATTGACTGCGAACAGCCGAGGCGCAGGTAGGCCCATCTGAACATCGGATACTCCTTCTCGGTCTCCGTCTTCAATGCCTGCTGGCAATGACATGCTGGCTGGCATTGCTGTCAACAGCAAGTCCCGCTCCAGTTTAAAGGCTACAGCACAATTGCAGGACTGCCCCATTGAGCACCCCGTGCATGTGCGTAGCGAGCGTGGCTGAAAAAGCTGGATCATACCCCCCTTGGCGGAAGCGACATCTGGGCACACTTGAGACATCTTCTGCGCATGTCATCTGCTTGGTCACGTCCATCTCCTTGACGACCCTTTTTTGCAGCATTCCGTGCCAGGATGCGTGTGAATTTTTGCATCAGCCCTGACCAAAGAGTGTCGCCTATAGCAGTGCCCGCTCGAAATAGCTCGAAATAGTCTTCCTCTGCTCAAAGAGCTGGACGTCCTGCCAATGCCTTTGAAGTAAGATTATAGCTGCTGCCTACCATACTGCACACGCTCTTCCTTGATTGCCTTGATTGCTCAGTGTTTTCTGGAACCTTGAATTCTCATACAAGGATCTGGATGGACTGAAGACGGGAGGGTGGCGAGGCGCTGGTGTGGAGACAGGGCCCCAGCTTCGCGCAGCATGTTCGGCCTGAAGCCCCAAACCCTCACCTGTGATACCCTAAAGCCCGAAACCACGATGCAACTTGTTGACTCCGAGCGTCCCCACACCAAGTATTGTTTCGAAGACGACTAGACGAAACATGACGAAATGCCTTCCAAACAATTCTTGGTGCAAAACCCAAGCGGGCTGCTGATTGGGCTTACTAGGGATGATGGAAGGCTTAACTTTCACTGAGGGCGGCAGTCAAAACTCACTCCAGGTCATGCTGAGGATTGCCTCCCCTTTTAAAACCCCGGGGCTGAGAACTTGAACTGCAGGAACCTTGCAGGGACGCTCTGGGGTTGTGCACACCAGGATACGTCAGGTAAGGATTGAGCATTGCAGGACACTCCCACATTGAGGTTTAGGAAAAACATGGAGTCACGGGAGTGACTGCCATGGTTTCCAAATAAATTCTTTAATACCTCTGCAGCGCTTGCAGCTCACCATTTGGAATCCATAGGACTTCGTCAACTTGCTCCCATGCGGGGGAAGACAGCTTCGAAGCAGGAGGTAGGAGCCGGCATTGGGCAGGCATGCAGCAAACACCTCAAAGTAGGTTTCCCGTAGGTGTCGCGCGCGTCAGCATCCGCAGCACTTGTAAATTTACCTGGCTAGTGTTGGGCGGAGA